GGGGTGAAAGAACCACCCCTTTTGCCGGGAAAAGGTCCACTTTGGGTAAAATTTGATCTAAGTACAGGACGTTTTCATGGAAAAAGGTCCACTTTTTCAGAAAAAGCACCCCCATTTTGAAATTGCTGGCTATGGGCCTGATAAATATGCTGCATATTACCAAATCTATTTAGGTTATTCCATGCATTTTGTTGATATAACAATCAATTAAACAAATATTAAACAAACAGTGTGTCTTTATTTGTACTCTCAGAATATTAAAGCGTTATGAACACTTCACAGAAATCTTAAAAATGATGCTAAGATATGCTTAATACCACCAAATCTATAAAAGGTCATTTCGGTCGATGCCATTTGGTCTACTACGACTCACATGAAGCAGCCAAACTGTCGGGTGGCCTGACCGACCTTCTGCCCACCAAATACCTTGACGCCCTGTCGACCCTTTTTCACTACAAAAAACCTGGTATGTGCTGCTTTGGACAGAATGTCACTGAAATTTTCCGGGCGATAATCGCTGGCCGCCACCAGCCGTTCGCATAATTGTAAAAAAGTGAATATCTCCATGCCCAATATCAATGGCATAACAATCCAAAACGACGGCCCCATTCTCTTTATGACTTTACATAATTAATTGTCGTGTAATTTGAAAGTTATCCTGGAGATGAATTTGACGGCAAAGCAGCCATATTTCCACGTGGCGATAATACACATGCCCAGAAAGCTTATTTTCCTGCAAATTCAATAACGAAGTTTGCGACAACCGACTTCGTTGGAGGGAGGGGGGGGGATTTTTTTTTTCGGAGAACGGATGAAAATCGGTGCGCGCGCAGGATGTCATCCATAAAAATAAAAAAGTGTGGCCTTAATTGGATTGCCAGATTATATGTTTCATTAACCACATCACATTAATATTTGTCTACAGAATGGAAGATCTACTGGGTCACTTGGTTGATCCAGGAATAATTGTTAAATCTTGTTTAATTTCAAACACTCACAATCAACATTCAAATATCTGTGGCTGCTAGTATGAGCATACTAATTTGGTGCTGAAGGCAGTTTATTCAAGATGACAGCCTATAATCATGGATGTTTCGTTTGTCTACTGGTCTATAGGTCTCTATGTGGAGTTGAATTATGACAGGCAACAACTCATTTCTACTGCCAGACATCTATGATTTGGATTTAACTGATATACTAACTAGTGTCACAGCATTTTAACAAATTTCTCCTCTATTAACCCAAGGAGTTATAACAGAAGGAGATTACNGCTAGCTCCGCCCACCGTAACAGACATCGGACAATAGAAAGGCTTGCGTGTAATCTCCTTCTGTTATAACTCCTTGATTAACCTAAGTTATAATATATAAGTTACACTGACTCACATTTATTTATAAACTTTTCGTAGTTTATAAGGTGATTTTTACACAAGGTACTCTTCTCATATGACAAAAAAAAAACTTCCTCTTTGTAGCATTAAATTGCAGTAACAGTAACCATGATTCCAAGCTTAAAGTTGACTGGAAAATGAGTTAAATTATAAACTGAAGTGCAATGCATTATTCAGTGGCGAGTGACCATGATTAGTTTATTTTAGTCCAACAACCAAGACCATTTTAACTGCAAATGTTGTTGTACAATATACATAACTATAATAACTACTCAGCATTCTAAGCCGGCCATTCTAATCCATTATTTGCAGCATCAACATTCACTGTTATTCTACCAAGACCGCTTTCCTCTGTTTGCTTAATTAGCTTTTGAAAAAAAAAATAATATGCCATGCATAACGTTACTCTCATACCGTCACTCGTTATAAAACTGCTCGTACGTAAGAAGTGGTTGAATTGAGAGAAAGTGGATTCTCTGGTCAGTATACTGGTACTGTACAGGAACTTGGACATATCAAGGAGTTATAACTCCTTGGACATATATACTGTCAGAAAACAATCCACCGGTCACGATGAAAACGAATGAAAGTAAGTAAAAGAAAACAAACAAGAATCGTGCACTTTACTGGATTTTTCTACACAGGCCCTTACCGTGGAATTTGTGCTTAATCTTTAAACACCGGTAGCGCATGAATGCGGAAATCCAACAACAGTCAAACGTCACTCCGCCATGATGGTCTCATGTGACTACCGCGGCGGAAGATATAAATAGGTCAAAGTAGTCCCTATTTGATATCTGTATTGATATTCATTTAATATATTTACAGAAACACATATTCTGTATAAATGTATCTAAGTATGCATTCTAATAACTTGTAGACTGGTTTGATTTCAAATTGGTCTGTCATGAATACAAACATATTTTTACGAACTATTTTGTATAGTGAACGTGTATTGACGTCAGACCTTCGATAAGAACCAAATATCTTGTTGACGAGACGTGATCGAGCACTTCGAATTTTCATAAGACAAGTAAGTATTATAATTTTCAATAACACTGTAAGGATCATATTTAAAAATATATACCACACTTCTGGTCAATCTTCACAAGACCACAGAATGTATAAAGTTATGCGATATTAGTGATAAAGACGTGAGGTACCTTAATTCCTGCTTGAGGAATGTTTACCTGGCTGGGTGGGGATGGTTAAATAAAAAACGATTTTGTAAATTAAGTGAACGTATAGCACAGCGTGACCCATATACTCGCCGTCGTTATAAATCTGTCGTAGAGTGACTACTTTAGAATTACTCTGCGTTGTAAGAGTACTTTAAAGCCTAGCATCTGTGTGTAACGTTATCTGTGTATATATACGTGTATTACGTTATACAGGATATGCATATACCCTGTAAAATCTGAACCATTTGGTAGAATGCTAATGTTGTTTGAATCATGTTTAGTTAATGAAATGGCCAACACGAATGTAAAACACCCAGGCCTAATATGTTCCTTGCCTATTAACAAAGCAAGCAAACAAAAAATAAGAAGATATTTACATTTAATGTACACTGTATATTTCATTCATTTTTGTCCACTAAATGATATAGTTAACACCCTTTTGCCATTGCGCAACACTTAAAAAAAATATATATATTTTTTTTATTTGATTGGCAGATGTAACAAGATTTAAGTTGGCAATATTGTAATAGTCAGGCAATAACTTGCTGTTAAAAAAAGACAATTTTAATATGATCATTGTAGTCATTTGATATACATTGAAAAGTCCATAACGGGCATTCTTATCAGTGAGGCCATAGGAAAATATCTTGAATAAACATTTGTTGTAGAGAAGTCAGTCAGAACAACTACTATAGTGCTATCAGATATAAGATTAGATAAGCTAAAAGTTTATTTATCCTAATGTATATGCACACACACACACACACACACATGCATGCACGCACGCACACTCTCACTGTTGGGAATCAAATGCTCTGTAAAAATGTGGTTGTATTAAAAAATAAAAGTTATATGGAAAAAAGTCTAAGACATTGAGAGGGATACAGCTCAAGGATATAAGCTACATAAAAAATGTTTACTACCCTTAAAAACTAGTAGTTTGGAGTTGCTAGGTAAAAAATAAAAAAAGTCAGCAGGACGGAAATAATCACACATGATGGAGTCTGTTTTATTCACTTCACTCTTAAGATAAATGGGTTCAAAAGGGTCAAGATCTGGTCTCCGTATCTTGAAAGGTTCGCTATGTTGCGCACGTGCGCAAGTGTCTCGATTCCATGGCCCCGTATCTCAAAATAGAATCGGTTATGGAATCAAGACACTAACGCACGTGCGCAACATAGCGAACCTTTCAAGATACGGAGCCCTGCTCCAATCACATCACTTGCTGTACCTACTATCTCTTCTAGTTTGTTCCCCCCCCTCTACATTTGCATGCCTGAACCATACAGTTAACACACCTGAAAAAGTTAGCTAAAATGGACACATTCTTGGTAAAAGCTATCAATTCCCTAAAAAAGTGATATATACATGGATTTTGCAAAACTTTTTGGTTATCATGTTAATTTTAAGGTCTATTCAATCTATTTAATATATACTAGGTCTCAGTTAATTGGTCCACATTTAACTGCAGGTCAGGCAGTGTCTAGATTCAGCAGGATAATCTTTAGATCACTGTTACAATCAGAATTATATATGGAAGGAGTTGTGCCAAGTTTTGACAATTATTTCCAAACAACTGTTGGAAGGGTAGTCTAAAATCCCCAGGCTTAAAACGGGTATATTTTGTCCAATCTAATTGATATTGAAGAGAATGCATTGTGTCAAAGCATCCTGTGTGGGCAACACG